ATATACATGTACACTTAATTAATTAATAGTAATCTAATTTTTATGTTTCTCCAAATTCATTTTACATTTAAATAACAAGATATTCAACATTTAAATAAAACAAAAGCAAAACGATGGTTATAATAACAAAATATTCTTCACAATGCCAATTTGATTTAAAATTCTTTTTAAAATTGATCAATATATCATTTTCCCACAAAACCATGTCTCACAATTAAAAAAAAAATTATATAATGTACTAAAGGAAGTTATGATTTTAAAACAGATAATAATGAACAGATATCAATCTAAAAGAAAATCTATAAACAATACAAATATGTATGCATGTTGTTTATCGCACCTCTCGAGATTTTTCACACAAATGTGTGAAGAGTGGATAAAACACGAATCCCTGGAAATCCTAGAGGTGGGATCATTATACACTTTTAAAGAACCTTCAGCATAAAAAAATAATTTAAAAAACACATAAAATACACAGTAAAGGTGTACATACGAGGGCTGTTCAATAAATTATGTCCTGAACTCTATGACATACAACACATATATCATATGACATTAAGCTTGACTTTCTCTCATGATTGAATCTTTAATGAATTGATATCAGTTTATGTGACCACTTTTCATCTTATATTTTCATTGTGAGAAGCTGGAAAACAAGGGCTATTCGAGACACTGCATTAAAAGTGAATGGTAAAGAATCAGTAATAAATTGAAAATAAACGCTTCGTTTCAGCAGCTGTAAAACTTGATGAAAATCCCAAAGAAATAATCACTGAAATTTGTGAAATTTACAGCAACCAATGGCTGTTTTATAAACACATGAGCAGATGGATTTCAATGAACAATAATGATATAATGGGCATCAAAAATGGGTACCGTCCATGGCGACAAGGATTTACAATATCCAATGTTCTATTTACCAAAATTCAACAAATTATCACTTATGATGTTTGATTGACTTAAAAACACATAGCAAATTTAATAGGCATTATTTTGGGGTAGTTCGCACCATTTTAAAGAAACATTTGACAGTAAAGAATCTAGATACTGAATGGACACACTATGTTTTGAAAAAAATAAGTGAAAACGACATCCTGTAAGAATATATGAACAGTTATTTTAAAAAAATCAGAAATAGTAGTTATTCAAGTTTGTCTGAAATTCAAACAGACAAATACATTTGAATCCATTGCTTTATTACCCTCAAAACATTTTTACATTAAAGCTGACATGAACTCTTAAAAAGGCATCAGCTTTCATCTTTGTACGACTTACTACATTCCTAAACGCCCTTGTCCGACATATTTGTTCGATTCCGCCATATTTAATCGAAGATTTTTGGCCACCTGTACCTGCTATATATAGCCCTGTAGAACTGTTTCACTTGAGTGATTTTCTAGTTTGGCTGTCGACATGTACACATCTCCGATAGCATAGTTTTTAGAAGTCCACAAACTGACCAATACATGTTTGAAAAGTAAAAATTCAGCAAAAAATAGAGCTATACCGAGAATTAAATTATTTTTGAATGCATTTGCTGCAATATAAAAAGTACACTAACATGGAATACATTTATGTACAGCAAAAATCCATGCAGGTCGAGAAAACGCGTCAAACGCAGTGATAAAACATTTACCTGAATACTGCTATCGTTACAGGGGTGTGCACATGTCGAAAGAATTATCCTATTTTACTTTTATTGAAAAATGCATCTCAGAAGTCATGTAATCCATTGCTAACTCAATAGTAAAAGATGCTTGGACACACGTGGCCCATGCCGATCATTTTATTTGGTCAGGGAAAATATCAAAGGTTGAAAGCTCAGTGGGGCTGAAATTTTTTTTTCAAAAATAAACATTACTCTTGTTTGTAAATGTAGTAAATAAAATTTATGATTACATGGTTTAACTTCAATAAATTTATAATAAAGCATGTATTATTACGAATCATTCATCTTTTGAAGATATTTTACTGTGATAGGAGGGGGGGGGGGTAATAAAACATGCATATTAATACTCTCATAAAAATAATTTAAGAAAAACGTCTGAAACAGATTAATTATTATCAAATAAATACTATGTATAGGCTTTATTAGAACTAATATAATTTGATACAAAGTTATCTATAATTTTATGCACAATGGAAGGAAAAAAGTGAGCAAGTTCACATACCCCACGCTTCCCCAAAAGTCAAAGTGCTGAAATTCCCAGAAAAAATAAAGGAATCGCAATTTCCATGTATTATGCTCATCTATACACATTGTGTCCTAAATACGTGCAAAGTTTGACGAAATTGTGTGCAGCGGTTTATGAGGAATTGCACTAACAAACTGTTCATCTCTATTTTCAAGATATGGCCAAAATCTAAATGTGAAAGTGCGGAAATTCCCGAAAAAATAAAGAATTCGGAATTTTCTGGTGATGTGTAAATCTACACACACATTGTATCCCATAAATATCTGCAAAATTGGACAAAACTCTGTGCAGAGGTGTATGAGAAGTTGCACTGACCAAAAAAAAAGAAAAAAAAAAAGACTGACTGACGGGTCAAAAACATTATACCTCATGCACGCAACTTATTGCGAGGAGTATAATAAACGAGTTTGATTCTGTGGTGCAATGATAATGAAAATAGAATTTAATGTGAATTAAATTTCTAGACATAAATAATTAATGATTATTAGAAAAAGCATATAGGTAGAGAGAGCAAACTCCCCATGAGAATTCCACATTCTACCTACAATTAGCTTTTTTAAAAATTCTCTTGTCTGTTGTCCAGGTCCAGGTTCGACACGTACGTTTGAGAAGGTAATTGAGAAAGTACCCAATGTTCCCATTCCTGTGATGTATATTTCACGTTTATTATATCCCCCGCTTGAAAAGTGGGAGGGTATATAGTAATCGTTATGTCCGTCCGTCTGTCCGTGCGTCTGTCTCTTACGCTTTGGGGTACCAATCTCTTATCCGCAAATCATCTTGTACCACTTAGTGAAATTTAATGAAACTTTCACAGAATCTAAGGTTTATTACATATTACTATTGTGCAACTCCTATTTTATTTTTCAGGGGTGTAGCAACGGGGGGGGGGGGGGGGACCTAACTTATACTATAGGAAATGTTAATTGAAGGTTTTGTTTTTTTTGTTTTTTTTGTTTTTTGCTTGTCAACTTTTTCAGGTAATTAAAAAGAATTCTCTGACTGGCCACCACTTTTAAATACGATGCTACGTGCCTGCTTTTTGATTCGACACATATTTTGGGTTTAGCGACAACAGCAAAATATGGACTGCCATTACATGTATAACCACATGGGAGGCGGGGTATCCTTTAGTGAGCTCATTGCTCACAATACCTCTAGTTTCTCTTTCAATTTGGGCGTTTGGGTTAATTTCTTGTCCAAATTAAAATTATTATTCAATTTACGAAGTTTCGACATCCCGTCTGAGAAAAATCCTTGATCAGTTCTAAGGCTTAATAGATGGTACAGCATAAAGTGTGTGGGATTTTATACCTATTATTGCCCTAACGGATGGGAGAGGGAGAAAGAGAGAGTTCAATATACAAAAGAGTTAATAAAAATTATCCGTATTCAACTAGTGTCAAGTATCCCTACTCTAGCTCGTAAAATTATCTCTCAAATACTCCTAAAGAAATTATTCTTATACAAAAAAATAGCTAGACTATTTTTTTTTTGCATGCCCCCCCCCCCCCCCGCGCCTAAAAAAAAATCAAATGCCTAAATGTCAATCTGAACAGGGGGTGGCCTTTCTCCGTGTTTGTGTGTGTGTTAATGAACGTATAGATGTACACATAAAAATTTGTATTCTGGTGAATTGCTTTTAAGATTTGAAGTAAATAATTACCGTACCTCAAATTACTTGGTTTAGATTTGAGATTAGTACTAAAATAATCAGTTATAATTGACAAATGAATTTTGCGACGCAAGCCAACTGCAGACTATATACATGACTTTGTATAGAATGTATATTAAAAGTACATGTAGATAGACAATTCACAATTATAGCTTATGAACAGCAGTTATAATACTTTAACCCCCCCCCCCTTTTCAGCAGCGCAAATCCCAAATAAGTTCTCTTTCCACTTGTGATATTTTCCCTGATCAAAATGTGATCAGCACGGACTAAGTTTATCGACATGCTAGTCTGTACGGAGTAATGACAGTGTGTTTACTATTGAGCTTTTATGGAGTTTATTTCTTTTTTGTGATGCATATTTCAATAAATGGGATTCAGGGTGTATATCACTTGACTTGTGCACATCTTTGAACCGATGCAGTAACCTTATTTCCAGGTATGGGTACGTTTACAGCGTTCGAGGCGTTTTCTCGATATGCATCAATTGCATCTTTAGGACCTGCAAATCAAAGACGTAGGTTGTTTTGTTCCATTCAAATGATATAATTTCAAAATGTGTTTGCAAATTTTACTGCTTTTTATTTCAAGCTTATTCTGCATAAATTGGCGCACTGTAAAATACGTACTCATGCATCTAAATTTCTCTTCCAAACTTGCATTTTTTCCTTCTGATACAAATCAATAATTATTCAGAAATATGATTACTATGTTGTTTGTTGTGGTTTTGAAATGTCTTGATCACCTCATGTGTTCTCATATGCTTTACCATCGGAGATGTGCACAAGTCGATACCCAAGCCACAAAATCATTCAAGTGTAACGACCGCATTGGGGTATATATCGTTACAATGAGACAATGTATCTGAAAGAAATATGGCGGAATACGGCTATAGTTGGTATGAAACAAGTCGTACATAGATGAAAATGTTGCGTTTTTAAGAATTCATGTCAGCTTTAAGATGCACTTGACAGAAATAGCCAAGGTCTGAGAAGAGCAAAGAATTGTAGAAGGACAAAGACAGTTTTATGTGCCATTTTCTTAAATATTAGTGGTCTTGTTGTTCAAATTATTATTCGGGAAGGCAGTTCAATTTCTGGAGGAGTCCAAAAAGCAACTTTTTTGAAAAAAAACAACAAAAAACGAAAGGTTTTTGAAAGAAAGGAACCAGAAAGAGGAATTCACTACATTTAATTTCTTCACGACAGCGTCCAAACCAACACGCCATGAAGAGTTAAGGAGTTTTGGGGACAAACAGAAAGGTAATATTTTGTCACACAATAATATTCGCCAGATCTTTCATCCTTTGACTTGATTCATTTTCCAAACTTTAAAAAAAACAACACCTTTTAGAAAGAAGAAACAAGTTAAAGAAATCATAGGATCTGCTATAATCCAATATATGAAGGACCATACTCAAAAATGAGTTCTAAAAACAATCAGAAATTGGATAAAAATGTTACGGACATGTGTTTTAATTCAAAGAGAATATCTTAGTTAAATTATAAAGACTAAATCATTGAAAAGCGTCTTTTGCTTCTTTCTGGGCACCGAGGACATTATACACAGAAAAATATACTCCCAGTAATTTGGTCAAAGAATCGACGACTGTTTTTATCCATATGGATATGCATTACTAGTAATAAAAAGTTGGTCCTATATCATATTAACGCCAGGCAGTGTCATACCTGAAAAAGGAAAAAAAATGAAGTGAAATGTGGAGATAATAAAGAACATTCACAGATCTCCAAAGCACCTGCAATGGTATCAGGTGCCTGATGATCCAGAGTTTAACAATAACATTATTTTAAATTTCAATATCAAAGTTTTCGGAAGTCTTAAATTAAATTGCAAAATGTTAAACTGTGAATATACCATTTAATTTGTATTGAAGTAAGCAGCACTGGAATAATAAATTTAATGAAAAAAATTCTCTGTTTTAACAACAGAAAGGCATTCGATTGAAATGTTTCACAGATAAAAAGAAAGAAAATAAAAGATAGTTTTTTTTTTGTTTTAGAGCTAAACCATACAGTTTATTCCCGTCTTGGTCCGTTTCTTCACTGTTGTCTCTTCCTTTAGTCTCCAAGGAGGGACTACTAAGAAAAAAAGGAATTTATTCAGATTTGAGCGTTTTCAGGTAAAAAAAATCGCTAATACATCAGTTGTTGAAATTAGAAATTTAAATCTTTTATTATGTATTCAAACAATTTAAAATGGCAATCAGATTATGTATATAACTTCGTACCTCATGTTTACATCTTTTTCCCTTAAACAACTCTGTAAGTTTGGTTTTTCTTTAATGAATGAATATGCAGTGGTTGAAACGAATATCACGGTCAACAGAATAAAAATTATCGATAGTACCATCCAAATATTGATGCTAACGGCAGACTGTCCTTTCTTTTCTTTACATATTTCCCCGGGTTGGCATAATTTTGCGTCACTCATCGGATAAGCAGAGGTAAGCTGTATTTCTGGATTTTTGACTGACAAACGTACAACAGCTGTAACATTCAGAGTCTTCCCGTTAAACGTATTGAAAGCAGAGCAAATATAATCTCCGGAATTGTTGGTTTGAAGATTTTTCAACAGCAGAGAGGATCCGATTCTATCCAAGTTGATAGTGTGTTCCTCTTCACTACTATTGGTAGATAAGAATCCCCAGCTGTACACTGGCGGAGGGTTACTGATAGTTAAACAGTCCAGTTTTTCTTCATCGCCAACAGAATACACTGATAATGATGGTGTCAGTGTAATTACGGCCTTTTCTGGACCATCTGATGGATAAAAGAAACATCGATAAATTCAGTTATTAATTCTAAATAACCATTCAACAACATGACTTAAGGTAGTTCTATACTCGGCACTAAATGGGCTCAATCTTTAAAAATCTGCTTTTATAAGATAGACACACATCCCAGCAATGGATAGTTTACACAGTGGTCAGAAAAATTATATGTCAACATGTTCACTTTTCCTATATGCTATAGCAACAGTAACATCATATATCTACATCCAGCTTGAAGGTGACGATATGGCTTCACTGAGTATATACCCACTGTGAAATTCCTGTAAAATAGGTCTGAAATTTAACCTATCCTTAGATTTTGTTGTATATAAATTAATTTAAAAAGTCTGCATAATATTCAACACAACAGATTTACACAATTATCAACCACACAATTTTAAATCTAAACAATACATAAATCCAAATTAATATAGAATTATAAAGAGTAGAAACATATTAGTATAAAACAATATATAATCATTGTTTTGCATGAATTATTATTTTTTAAATATTGTATGGCATATATTGGCCACAGTGGTCTATTGTAAACTTTTGTATCAAAATTTAATGTCAGAAAATATGCTTCACGGGAAAAATTACAAATCAACTAAATCAACATCAACGTATCATTTAAAAAAAAAGGTGACGATATGGACTCAAACTACAATCGTAAATTTGCATTATTTTTACTAAATTATATTTAAGAAAAATGATAAGCTTAAAAAAAATATATGTTGACGCATTACTTTTCTGTGGTATTGCTCTAATGTTACTCTACACTAAAGGGACCCCACTTAATTCTGTACTTTCTTCCAGAAGTAATATATTGCCACATATTTCTGTAATACTGTTAATGTTTGCTGCTATGGATGCCCTTTTTATAATTGATGAGCTTGTATCAACAAAGTTGTACATAATTTAAAACAATAATTATACACACCCAAAACCTATTGTCCCTAAAATTAAAATTGATATCTTATTTTCCTCAAAACAAGGGGCCCGGAAAGTTTGGCCTTAAAAAACTTAGTCATTGCCTGCACTGGACAAAAATAAATAAACCACTACTAAAACACACTTGTCTTTAAATTGGAGAGTTGTTGCCCTTAGATATAGCTAATTCTCCCACCCTCAGAAAATGAAAGTAATTCACTGATTTTTTCTCAGAAACTGGATGATTTTGCTACAGAAAGTAACGCATAGCCAGTGTGCTGCAAGTAATTTTTTCATTTGACATATTTCTAAACTTGAATCAACTTTTGTCAATTGTATACTTAGTCATTGTGAAAAGATGTGGATGGAATTCGTGGTTTGCTGTTGGAGCAAGTTGTCAGGTCTGGCCAGAAATATGTTTGGCTTTAAATATAATATTATATTGCATTAGGGATGACTGAGTGTTCAGGATGCTTACCAAGGCAATATTATCTGTATGAAATTGAACCTTATGACAGCTAAGTTCCTCCCCCCAAAGCATAACTGACAACACTATCAAGAAATGTTATATCTCTGTTTTATGGCCATTCATAATTATTAGCTCCTGCAAAGTAAATTTTGTAATACTCCATTGAAATGGTCTAAAAATTTAACCCACATTAACATATCCTCTTTCAATGCCCTAGTGATTCTAATGTGACTATTGGGACGGGAAATGCCAATCATAGAATCATAAAATCTTCTGTTGAATGCCCTACTACCCCTGATAGCCTTGGAAAAGAAATTGAGCTTTCCAACTAATGATTCCATTTCTTTCAACTTAACCTTTGACCTTTCCATTAAAATGCCAAGCAGACCTTTGAGTTCCTGTATTTTATCCCTTGGGATTCTTACAATTTTAAGCACCGTGTCGATTTCTAACCCTAAAAACACTAAACAAGTAACAGGTCCTTGTGTTTTATCCACTGCTAAAGGAACCCCAAAATCTTTGCACACAACCTGGAATAATGTCATTAATTGCAAACATTCCCTGATCCCCTACTCCCTGCAAAGATAAAATCATCTAAATAGTGCTCTACTGTATTTAAACCAGATTTATTTGTTATAACCCACTGCAAAAATGTTGAAAACTTTTCGAAAATTGAACAAGAAATTGAACATCCCATGGGTAAGCACTTGTCAAAATAGTATTGATCCTTAAATCTAAATCCTAACAGATCAAAGTCCCCAGGGTATATTGGGAGTAACCTAAATGCACTTTTAATGTCGACCTTTCCTAACTCAGCACCGGGTCCTAACTGATTTATCATATCGACTACTGTATCAAAAGCTGTGTATTTAACGCTGCAATCATCTGGGTCAATAAATGAGTTAATGCCAAGTGATGGAGGGCATGAAAGATGTGTAATCATCCTCCAACCACCACTTGACTTTGGGACTAGACCAATTGGAGAAATGTGCATATTAGGTATAGGTGGGTGTGAAAATGGGCCCAGCACCCTTCCCTCCTGTACTTCTTTAACAATTTTTTCTTGCAACTGATTAGGGAATTGCCTAGCCGAAAGCAAATTCTGAGATAAAATAAACATTCTTGGACCTGAATAATTTAACTTAAACCCATAAGTGAATCCTTGTAATATTTCATTTGCTACATTCCTTATTGGATATTGGTGCAAAAAAGGTGCCAATGCAGAAACCCTAATTGGTGTTGAACCTATTTCCCATAAATCTGGGACCCGAGAATCGAGGGCGTCTAAGGTTAAGCTGGGGGGTGGAAGCTCCGTTAAGTCGACTGGATTGCTGGACCCCTGGCCGGAAGGCCTGTCTTGGGCTGAAATAAGAAGCTTGCCTGTTAACTACATTTACAGAGAAAGGACAATTTACCATGGCATGATCTTGACCACACTTTATACAAATGTGCGTGTACGAGCATGGTTTCCTTACACAAAACCCCTGAAAATTAAATGCGTAACATTTATTTGCCCCTACAGTTCCCGAAGGTGATACGTTTTGCCCCCCAGTCATATACATGACCCACAATTCTGTATCTACACCTGACCAAGATTTGCTGGGATCCATAGCCAATTTTAGGCGGAACTGCTCGTCATAAAGTTTCCACCCAGAGGACCTACCCGCCCCGGCACGTACATTGTGCATGTATTTTAGTAAATCCTGATATTTACCTGTATGGACAGATGTATATATGCTCAAATAAATTAGAAAGGCATCCGTCCATTTCTCAATTGTTGTGATTTTTTGAGTATTCTTGGGTTTGCTTTGCATTTGGCCATCATTACCCAATACAAAAATTCGCTCACTAGCTGAGTCTTCAATATTTGAATTTCTTAATAATAGTGACAAATCAACATATTTGCCTTCAATAATTTTTTGTCTGATAGTCTCGTTTACATTATGGCCCAATGAAAACTGAATTGAATTTAATGGTGTGGGGATAGAACCCCCATCTTGCGACAGAAAATTATTTGTACCTGCTGATTGGTCAGTTAAATTTTGGGTCCCCATTCCGTCGCACGTCGGCGCTTGTTGTGTCGCCAGTGGCGCTGATCCTGTCGTAGATTCCCCCGGATCCTGAACCTGGGGCTGGGCCTCTCCTCCGACCTGTTTTTTGCTCTTCTCTCCTCTGCGTCTTGTCCTTATGGGCGGCATGCTTACAAATTTATTTAAGTTCGGTTTGTTAATTGAAGAAAGTTATGCCTGCACACAGAATAATGGCGATACCGACACACTACAGGATGCTGCACGCTGCCCTACAAAAATCTCCAAATATCCAACAAATATGCTGCCATCGGAAGCGCTCCAGGTCTTAGATGTCTTGTAATGTCGTTGATTCGACTAATTTTGAAAATCGAATTGAGTTTTTTCGATTAATTAATAGTTATTTTTAAAATTATTTTTCACTTTATTTTTCACTTTAATTTCTAAACCATCCGCTGGTTACAGGCCTTTGTTGAAAAAGGAAGTGGGGATGCTGTAAATTCAGAGTGATGCGCGAGATGCATATAAAATCCCGGTCCAAGTTTCCGGATTACACAACAGATTGATCTACACAATTATCAACCACACAAACCAATTTTAAATCTAAACAATACATAAATCCAAATTAATATAGTTTAATGCTAATTATAAAGAGGAGAGCTTTGATAACGGCACATATTTACAGACAAGCTGAAATATGTGCAATTATAAGATAGACACACATCCCAGCAATGGATAGACACAAGAAAAATTATATGTCAACATGTTCACTTTTCCGCTATAGCCTATCTAAGTATATACCCCTAAATGTAAAATACTGAAATTTAACCTATCCTAGATTTTGTTGTATATAAATTAATTTAAGTCTAAATATTCAACTTTAATACCCAAAATAGAGTAGAAACATATTAGTATAAAACAATATATAATCATTGTTTTGCATGAATTATTATAAATAGATGCACTTTGTAAGGCTATTGTATCAAAATTTAATGTCAGAAAATATGCTTCACGGGACAATCTCGGTCATTTAAAAAAAAATATGGACTCAAACTTCGTAAATTTGCATTATTTTTACTAAATTATATTTAAGAAAAATGATAAGCTTAAAAAAAATATATGTTGACGCATTACTTTTCGTGGTATGAGCTCTACACTAAAGGGACCCCCTATTTTCTTTCTTCCAGAAGTAATATATTGCCACATATTTCTGTAATACTGTTAATGTTTGAGTGTATACTTGTATCAACAAAGTTGTACATAATTTAAAACAATAATTATACACACCCAAAACCTATTGTCCCTAAAATTAATCTTATTTTACTCAAAAAATAAATAAATAAATAAAACACACTTGTCTTTAAATTGGAGACGATGAAAATGAAAGTAATTCACTGATTCTCAGAAACTGGATGATTTTGCTACAGAAAGTAACGAAGTGTGCTGCAAGTGAATCAACTTTTGTCAAATACTTATTCAAAAGATAATTTTGCATTGGGATTCGTGGGTAAGCAGGTTGGGGGAGGGGGGGGGGTATGCGTTTTATGCAATAATTATTATTCA